ACAACTGGACAAGCCCGGAAGGAAAAGAGCAAAATCAACATCCAGATAAAAGCTGCCATTGTCACCTCCCCACGGTCTCACCCACATCTGTGTCACCCAGTCCACGACCAAAAGACAAGCACAGTTTCTTCACGTGTCTCTAGGCTCCACGCGCCTCCTCCAGGTCTCCTGGCTCCATCCTGCTTCCTTCCTTCCTCAGTCTCCTCTGCTGCTTCTCCTCCTCCTGCTCAGCTCCACCCTCCCTTGGGTGGGGCAGGGAACCTCCCCCTTTCCTGGGGACCACCCTGTTACATTGTTAGAATTTTTTTTAAACTTTTTTAAAGATTTATTTATTTATACAAGCACTGGGGTACAGGCCAGAGGCACAGGAGGGTGGGAGAATTCACCAGAGACAGAGCAGAGCATTAGAACAGGCAGAAGGACTGAAGTACACTGCTGAGGTGAGCAGCAGGCACCACAGGAGAGGTCTGCCTCTCCATGTGGGAACTTCCCTGGCTGGCTGCGGACAGCTTTGCAGTGCTGTGCTCAACCCGCTGCGTCACCAGGGAGGCCCTCTTGCTAGAATATTTTTGACATAGATTTGTAGATATGAGTTTGCTGGGTTGAAGGGTAGCACGCATATTATTTTGCTTCGTAATGACAAATTCCTCTTCACATGCACATGGGGTTGTACCATTTTTGTTTTTCCATCAGTAATGTATAGAAGTGCTTTTCCCTTAGCTTTTGCCAGTTTTGTTTTTTTTTTTTTTTTTAAAGATTTGTTTATTTATTTATACAAGCACTGGGGTACAGGCAGAAGCACGGGAGGGTGAGAAAATTCACCAGAGCCAGAGCTGGGAACAGAAAAGGCAGACTGAAGAAATACACTGCTGAGGGGAACAGCGGGCAAGGCAGGAGAGGTCTGAGTGCCATGTGGGACCCTCGCCAGTGGCCGGGGATTGAACCAGAGCTGCAGAGGCTGCAGGCAGCTTCACAGCCCAGCGCTCAACCGCTGCACCACTGGGGAGGCCCAGCTTTTGCCAGTTTTTATAACACTGATTTTTCCTTTTTGTTGTAAGGTCTTTCTTTACATGTTAGAGTTATCAAGGCATTTTTGATGTAATTTACAAAATTATTTTCCCAATATCTTATTTGCCTTTTTCACTTTGCTTTTGGTATTTTCCATTCTCCGATTGTATAGATTTATTTTTAAAATTTTACTCTTCAACCCATGTGGAATTTATCTTGTTGTGCAGGACAAGCATCCATTGCATCATTTTCCTCTCTATACCAAGAAATTGCATCTTCTTCAAATTCTTTGAAAGTTCTATTGAAGTCATCAAATTCACTTTAGGAAACACCTTTCTAAATAACTAGAATCAACTTCAAGTTCTGCATCAAATTCTCACATTCCAGTTCACTTAAATCCCATGATATCCAATAGTTATGTGTAGACTTTTCCTTCCATCCTAATAATGTTTCTCCTCACTGTCCCAAGTCTGTTGCCTTTATTCTTCTCATTATGCTCCTTCCCCAAGATACTGTCAGCCTGGACTATCCTTTCAGCTGCCTCCATGAATTCTTTTTTTTTTTTTGATGTATTTATTTATACATATAAAAACTGGGGTACAGACAAGAGGAATGGGGGATGAGAGGATTCACCAGAAACAGACTGGGGAATAGACCAGACAGACCCACTGATATACACTGCAGAGGGGAGCAATGAGCCAATCAGGAGAGACCTGATGTGCCATGTGGGTAGCTCCCTGGCTGGCGGGTATCGAACTCGTGTTGCAGTGGCTGCGGATAGCTTCATAGTGCTGCGTCTTAATCCCTTGCACCACCAGGGAGGCCCCCCACTTCTATGAATTCTTTTGGAGGAGACCTAAAAAAAATCTTATGTCCTTTTGGAATCCTAGGATGATTCGTTTAAGCAATGGCAAGTATATTTTTGGAACTCATTCCTAGCTATAATTATTATCTCCTTCTTCTATTCCCTCACCCTCAAGATAGGACACTTCATTAGTTTTTATTTGTATTTTGTGTTATCCTCTAGTTATGTGAAGCAAAAGACATGAGGCTTCAGTGCTCACTTGAACTAGCAGTATGAGGTTCTTGAGGGAAGATGATGTCTAGGCTAAAACCAAGATGCTTTCTAGACAAAGCTTTCTCACCAGTGTGGTCTCAGCATGTTCCAAGGTCCTCATTAAGTGAGTTTTGCTATTCTATCAAAGATTCATTGGTGTTGCTTGTTATATGTTATATTTTGAAACTTTCTCTCAATAAACAGGTACCACCCGAAATCTGGTGACTGTAGATTTTAAATTAATTTCCCTTTCTATATGGAAAAATTAATGCATCATATAGTGTTAGAGAGATTTATTTTTCAAAATTAAAAAGTTAGTCACAAGAATGCTTATAAAGGTTACACTTTGGGGGATTAGTTTTATAAGACAAAAAAAAAAAAAATAACCAAAACCCTATAGTTGAGAAATGAGTTGATTGCTAATATTCTTTACAGGAAATTCCTGTAAAAGGAAACAGGCTTACTCATTCTTTCAACTAGACCAAACCTAACCACAAACCTTGTCTAGTGGAGGAGGTTGGTCACAAAAGAGTTATAGATGCTTCATCTTCAAGACATTTTCTTTTACTGACAGAAATAATTTAAGTAGATTCACCTCTGTATGATCATGGATTTGATGATATCAATTGTCATTTATAAAATAGTCAAGATTTTGTTTATTTCTCCTGATATAATTCATTATTTTCAAACTTGTGAGAGTTAAATGATTATTGTATTTTCTACAGGTATCTCTCTGATTAGAAGGAGAAATAATATAACTCTTAGAAAATGGACATTCTCACATGTTCTTCTTCAAGCAGAAAAGTCAGCAGTCACTGAAATAAGGAAGTTCGTTTCTCTTTTTTTATGTCTGAAGAAGAGGAAATAAAGGTAAGACAACAGTACTTTTTTTCACTACTACTCCTAACCAGAAATGATCTAGAATGATTTTCAAAATGGATTCCTTACAAAATTCCTTTTCGTGAAATGTTTTGTAATAACAAGTGCTCTAGGTAGCAATATTTATCTCTTCATATATGTGGAATATTCACTTATTAAAAAGCTGATGGTGGGCCTCCCCTGGTGGTGCAGCAGTTGAGCACTGGACTGCGAAGCTGCCCACAGCCTCTACAGCGCCGGTTCGATCCCCGGCCTCCGGGAAAGGGTCCCACATGGCGCTCAGACCTCTCCTGTCTCGCGTGCTGCTCCCCTCAGCAGTGTACTTCGTCAGTCTGCCTGTTCTGTTCCTTGCTCTGGCTCTGGTGAATTCTCTCACCCTCCCACGCATCTGACTGTACCCAGTGCTTGTATAAATAAATAAATCTTTTTTTTTAAAAGCTGATGGTTATAAAATAAACCTATGTACAATACTTTGAGCACTTTGTGGGAAAAGGGATTATTAAAGGGATTTAACATTTTTGCAGGATTCAAATGCTCATTTTGACTTGATTTTAAGATCTTTGAGAACAGACACTGTATACTTGATTTTCTGTTATTCCTAGACAATGGGGCATCAAACTACCCTCCTTGACCTCTTCAAAATCTTTGACTTGCTCACCAAGCCCCCCCTTCCTTGAGCCCACCCTCCTCTAGTAGGTAAATAGCCAGGTGGACACATCCTGTCCTTAGATCCCCACTCAGGCAAAGTGATCTGGGTAGAACTTCCCACCTGGGTGTCTCTACCAGACAAGCTTAATTTGTTTGTGGTTTTTGAGGCTCCCTCTCTTCTGCCTCCTCGGAGAAACTGGTCCATGCACTCTCTCCTCATGCTCACTAATTTGACCTGCTACCCTTCTGACTCATTTCCCTGACAGTGGAATCATGTCACAGCTCTGACCTCAACAATGAGCAAACACTGCCTCAGTCTTCCCCACACAGCAGAGCCCTTGGAAGTTGTGGTTTGTCCCCACCCACTCCCCACACCCCTTATCCCTTCACTGTTCAGGTCTCCATCATCTCAGTCCTTGTCTGATCCCAGACCTACAGGACACATTGCAGCCTTTTTCATGCCTGATTCCTCTGCTGCTTCTGACATTGACATCTTGTCTTTAAATTTTCTCTCAGTGACAAGGTGGCCTTTATGTTCTGTTTCTTTTCTTCTTTGGGAGTCCAGCAAGATGGTTGCATAGTGAGGAGGTAGGGCTGGCCTCCTGCAGACAAGAATAACAAAACTAATACAAAACAGAAGTATTCCTCCCTAATACTACTTTTCCACTTCACAAAACTTCAATATAAAAACAAAGGGCTCTGATTACTTCAGGGGTAAAAGTGATTTAATATCCTCAAACCCCTCCCCTAAGTAATTACCTTCTAAGATTTCAATATTTCCTCTTATTTCTGAATCCTCCTTTTTAGCTTTTAAGAGGGAAATTGTAGAGTTAAGGCCATCAAACACAAATAGTTGGCCAAGGGCTCATCACTTGTTTTTCTTTTATTTCTACTGCCACAAAATTGTTCATATTTCTGTGTGTCCTCCTGTCTATACAGACACTCACTGCCACTTATAAAGTGAAGGATGTAAACTAGGATGTTAACTGTTTCAGTGAACAGATTTTGTGAAGTGCCTTCTGTTTTAGCACTTTAAGTTTATCACACTTTGTTGACTTCTGACATTCCACTTTCCTAGATTATAGGAAAGACCTGTTGATGTAGTTTGTCTTTCAAATGTGCCAATGTCTGTACATTAACAAGATTTTTAAAAATAAAACTGTATAAAACATTTAAAAAAAAAAAAAACTAATACAAAACAAAGTCTAAAACCCCTGAGGGAAAAACTGATTATCAACTTACACAATAGGAGCATCAGCCTGACTGAAAGGGGTAGCAAAAGCCTTGAGTGAACTTTGTTTAAAGTAACAAAGTGGGAGGAGAGGCCTCAGGGCAGAGTCAGGGGGCTGCTAGAACCCTGCTTGGCAGGCACCTGATAAGGGAAGGGGGTGCGCAGCTGGCACTCAGGACTTGAGGATGCTTGTGGGAGAGCTGCAGAGGTGAGGACAAAGAGCTTGAGGGTACAGGACTGTTGGCTTAAAAATGAGGCTCATAACAGAACAGTTCTACCAGGAATCAGGTCAGCCCTCGGATTTCTTCACAGAAGAGGCTATGACTGAAGAGCAGGCGGGGATATAAACAGCTGCCATCCCTATGAAGAAATGCTTCACAACAGGAATTTCAAATTCCTGAGTCCACTGGAGGTGATCCTTTGATGCCTTTTGCCAGGTACTCTTTATACTTACTAACCCTCCATGGTGCCAGTCTCTGATTACCACAAGTACAAAAGAACAGCTGGAAATGTATCCCTTAGTTTTCTTCTTTTGGGGTTGGTTTGTTTTAGTTTCCTCTTGCCCCTGATCCTTTCTTCCAGGCTGTGTTCCTCAAGGAATTCTAACTATCTTTTTTTCCAGCTAAAAGATACCTCTAACTTGAATTTCCCCCCCATGCTGCCAGCCCCAAGCACTTCTGAATACCACCCGCTTGCTCTTGGACTGCTCCAATTGGATCCCCAAAGACACCTCAAGCTTATTGTTTCTTTTACAGAAATACTAATTATTGATAACTTTTATAAATATTAAAATTACCCTTCCTTCCTTCCTTCCTTCCTTCCTTTTCCTTCCTTTCCTTCCTTTCCTTTATACATGCACTGGAAGCGCGGGAGGGTGAGAGAATTCGCCAGAGCCGGGAGCAGAGCAGACTGAAGTATACTGCTGAGGGTGTTAGGGGGAAAACGATGTCCTAAAGCTAATTCCACACAGGCTTTGTGGACTCCACCCCCCCCCCCCCCTCAGGCCAAAGCCAAAGACACTGGGAACTCCAAATCCCATCACCACCAAAGGGAAGGTGGCTGGGACCTGAGGGTGGGGTTAAGCAGCCAGGTGGGTATAAACCCAGACAAGTGGGCTTTGGAGGGGTTCCCCCAATTTTGTGTGTGCCTGTAGTGGAGTATTAATAAGTCCCTTTTAAGCACGCGGGTGAGGACCCACAGCCAGAAACCCGTTCAATATCGGGGCTGCTCTATAACAAGGGGAGCAGCGGGCGGCAGGAGAAGTCTGCGCGCCATGTGGGACCCTCCTCCGGTGGCGGGGATCGGAGCAGCCGGGGATCGGAGCTATCGGAGCTGCGGGGGATCGGAGCTGCCGGGGATGGAACCGGCGCCGCAGAGGCCTCGGGCAGCTTCGCAACCCAACGCTCAACCGCTGCGCCACCGGGGAGGCCCTAAAATTACTCTTTCTTTCTGTAGCTGAAGATGTTGGAGATGTGTGTGTGTGTGTGTGTGTGTGCGCGCGCGCGCGTGTGCATGTATTTAAATGAAATGAGGACTTTTATAAGGTGAGGAAAGCCAAGTGATTCTTTATAGGAAAAGATGGAAATACCTGGAGAGAAAGATGCTGGGAAAGTCGGGGGTGGAGGGAGTGGTTGAGGAGTGGCTAGTGGGGGCAGGGAGGAATGGAGGAATGAGGGGCGGAACTCGAATTACTAGTTAGACGTTGGGAGAAAGGGATTGATTTTGCCAGCTATCTAAGCAGCAAGGATATGGTGGGAAGAAAATTTGTCAAGGGAACTGTCTGAGTAGCCTTATGATATTTAGGGTAACTCTCTCTCTCTCCCCCCCCACCTTCCTTCTTCTTCCCTCTATCTCCCCCTTCTCTCTTCCCTCATTATTTTTTTCTATTGTCACTGAAATTGTTGCATTTTCCTGTAATTTTTTTTTGTTTTGTTTTTTCTTGCTGACAAAGACTCTTTCCTTGACAAAGACTTGTTGGCTCCAGTCTTGTCTTCAGCTAGCCTAGTTTAGTCTTAGCAAAGAATAAGTCTTCCCATCCTTAGTCTCTCTCTGCCTTACCAACTTATTCCTCTCCCACCTTAATTTCTCAGCCTTTGTCCTGTTCTTTTGCAAGATTCCTGTTGGGTCAGTTAAGTAACAAATTATCCCCTTGATGCTGCCACTTGGTGATTTCCTATCCCTTGATCACGCCATTCTGTGCCCCAATGATATACTCATTATATTCCGAGTTCAACTTCTCTCTCTCTCCCCTATTGCAATGTCTTGAACAATCTTGTTTACTGTTTTGGGTCAAAACAATGATTTCTTTAAGATTGTTCTCCACATTGTGACAGACTTGTGAGGACAGGGACTGTGCCAATTATTTTGCCTACATCCCCTATCCCTGTCATAAAGAGCTTCAGGACAGTATGGGAATGTCTTATGAAAAATTTTAGCTGGAGTTAAAATTACCTTATTTGTACAAGTAATATACCTGAAGTCAGATATTTAAGAACTTAAGAGGCAAAGACAAAATCATTCTACAGTGAAATTACGTGCACTGTTTGCTCAAATTACAGAGTATCACCCACTGATCTAGGCTGAAAGTTTGTGTTGCCCTAAGTACATAAGCTGAAGTTCTAATGCCCAAAGATGATATTCACTAACAATGGTATTTGAAAGTTGCTTAGGGTTAGGTGTGAAGCTCTTATAAGTAGGATTAGTGTTCTTATAAAATAGACTCCAGAGATCTCTAGCACCTTCCACCATATGAGGACACAGCCAGAAGATGCTGGCTATGAATCAGAAAGAGGGTCTTCCCCAGAATGCAAATATCCAGCACCTTGATCTGGAAATTCCCTGCTTCCAGGGCTGTGAGACCTAAATTTCTGTTGTTTATAAATATCACTTTGCTATGTTGTTATAACAACATCAATGGGACTAGAATACCCATACCCACCTTTATGTCTTAGAATCCACTTTTCATCACTCAGTTCTTGTCAGTGAGTCAAAAGTTCCAATAATCACCTGATCTACATGGGGGGCAAAAGCACCAGGAAGACAGACCAAGCTCTGGCTCTCTCTTGAGGTGACCTGCTTCCCTTTTTCTATTTCATAGGGTTGGCAGTAATGCCATCCAGTGACAGCTTTCCCTTTCTTCCTTGGAGCACAGAGTCAAGCATCCTCTATTACCATTACTAAAGCTAGCAATATGCAGATAGCCTCATTTTTTATATCTGAACTATAGCATTAGCTGCCCTATTCTGAAGATCTGTTTTTTTTTTATTCAACTGGAACCACCTTTTCAGGAATACTTTTGCTTAACTCTTTCCAAAATACTCATGGAACTAGGCAATGTAGGTAAGAACATTAAAAAAAGAGAATTTCACAAAGAAATGATGTCAAAAGAACATACCATATGGTGTAGAGATCCTGGTGTTACCATCAACGAGTTCCTTCCTTTACATGCCACAAAGTGACACAAAGAGACGCGACACCCCTCCAAGAGGGCCACATGGTGGTTAGATGTTGGCATGAGCAGGTGGTGCTGGGTAGGACCTGCCCTTCAGCACTTCCTATGTGACTTGCGTTGTGAGCACTGGTTCAGATTTCTCCATTTCCTCTTTTTTGACTTACAGCCCTGAAAAGGACTCTTGAGATTCAGCTCTGATCATGGTGTGCCCATCTCTGGTTGAAGAACAAGTGGATTAAAGGGATGTCAGGACCACGGAAAACCATGCTTGCTTTGGGCTGGATATTTCTTTGGCTTGTTGTAGGAGAAAGAATTGAAGGATTTGCTATCTCAGGTAGGGGTTTTTAATTTTCTTGCTAACACTGAGTCGTGTGGTCAAAGTTAAAGTAACATATAACCTGATATTTCAGCAGCATGGCATATTAACAAAAAAAATTTCCCTATTATTGTCAGGTTGGATATGGGAGGAGAAATAATTAAATTAGCGTGAACTGCTTTTAGCAAATAGCAAGCATTGATGGGAAACCCAGTTACTGGGGGTTCAGTGGGGGCAACTGAAAGGGAACAAAGGGTGATTTAGAAAGATGGGTGGATGGGGCCACCCTGGTGGCACAAGGGGTTAAGACAAACACAGCCTCTGAGGCTGTCTGCAGCCACTGCAGCACGAGTTTGATCCCCAGTCAGGGAGCTACCCACATTGCGCAGCAGAACTCTCCTATCTCGTCCACTGCTCCCCTCAGCAGTGTGTTTCAGTCAGTCTGCCTGTTCTGCTCCACACTCTGTCTTTGGTGAATCCTCTGACCCTCGGTGCCTCCTGCCTGCACCCCAGCTCTTGTATGCATAAAAAAAATAAATCTTTAAGAAAAAAAAAAAAGAAGAGCCTCCCCTGGTGGTGCAGCGGTTGCACGCTGGGCTGCAAAACTGCCCACAGCCTTGGCGAGGGTCCCACATGGCGCGACAGACCTCTCCTGCCACACCCGCTGCTCCCCTCAGCAGTGTATTTTGTCAGTCTGCCTGTTCTGTTCCCTGCTGACTCAGGTGAATCCTCTCAACCTCCCGCACATCTGACTGTACCCAGTGCTTGTATAAATAAAAATAAATGAATCTTTAAAAAAAAAAAAAAAAAGAGCAACTTAAAAAAAAAAAAAGATGGGTAGAAAGAATTCAAACATGAACTTTTTTCTTCAAAATGAGAACAGTGAAGACAAAAGACACACAAGTGAGCCTAATCCTGTGCTAAATTGTTTGTTTGTTTGTAAATAAAAGAATTTCCTCTTCTAATGCTTTTCTGTGTTGTTTTTTATTGTATTTTTTTTTTTTAAAGTTTGTGGCACTTTTTTTTTTTAAGATTTATTTATTTATTTATACAAGCACTGGGTACAGTCAGAAGTGCGGGAGGGTGAGAGAATTCACCAGAGCCAGAGTGGGGAGCAGAGCAGGCAGAAGGACCGAAGTACACTGCTGAGGGGAGCAGCGGGCGGCAGGAGAGGTCTGCGCGCCATGTGGGACCCTCCTCCAGTGGCCGGGGAGCAGCCGGGGATCGAACCGGCTCAGCAGAGGCTGCGGGCAGCTTCTCAACCCAGCGCTCAACCGCTGCGCCACCGGGGAGTCCCTGTATTGATTTTTTATTGTGGTTTTCAGATTGCCCCACCAAAAAAATTCTTCGGACATATTCTTCAGGGAGTGAGGAGGAGCTTGTCTTATTTTGTGATTTAAAAAATTGCAATGATAATAAGAACCTGTCTGATGTCCAGTGGTATCTACAACATCCAAATGGAACGGTGCTAGGGGAAATTACCAAAAACTATCCTCACATCCTTCAAGAGAAGAGCCTTCATTTTTCAACCACAGAGCTGAGTAATTCTGGATCATACATTTGTAGGCCCAGGATGAGGTATGTCCCAAATGAATTCTTACTAAAAAAATTCCCTAAATCCTGTATTATTTGGACATGATGTTTATGTTCACAGAAACTTGTTAACTTCTGTAGGAGTTCCCAGGATGAGAACTGTTGTGTCAAGATAGTCTTAGAGGTTAAGCCCAAGACAAATGAATCATGTGCGAATCCTGTATCACATAAGCAAGACCTTCTTCTTGGTGCAATGGGCTCCATTTCTTGCCCCTGTCTCCGCAACCAAAGAGATGCTCCAGAACTGACCTGGTACCAGGTAAGAATGTATTCTCCAAAACTTCTGTGAGAGCTTGTTTTTTATGGTGACATAACAATGTGGGATTGTGAATCTGAGGTCTGGAGCTTCCAAAAGTCTGGCCTTGTGCTTACAGAGGAGACCATGTTGTAGAGCAACCCCGATACAAAACGGGGTGCCTGCCTGTGGGTCCTCACCCGCGCGCTTAAAAGGACTTATCAATGCTCTACTGCAGGCACACGTGAAAGGTTAATAAAAGGTTTATTTACAAGGGAAAGGGAAATGAGGAAATGTACAGCTCTGGGAGAAAAGTGGGAGACAAAGTTTTAAATGAGTCCTACCCAATCCGCCGATCAGGAATCCCAAAATGGCACTCTCAGAGTTGGCCGCCAGCCAGGAGCGGTGAAGCCAGGAGGCGAGCGATCGCGAGCCAGAGAGCCCAAGGCCCACGTGTTTGGTTTTTTATATCCAACCTGGCTGCCCAACTCCACCCTCAGGTCCCAGCCACCCTCCCTTGGTGGTGATGGGATTTGTCTTTCCCAGAGTCTTGATGGCTTTAGTCTGGAGTGGGGGTGGGGTCCACAAAGCCTGTATGGGATTAACTCAGGACATCATTTCCCCCTAACAACCAGACTTTGTAAAATGGTGTTTCACTTAGGTAACCACAGTCTGATATTCCAATTATTAGAACCATCCTTTGGATCAGTGCCAGAAAAATGTCTAAAATTCAAGGACAGTACACATCACATATGACAGGATTATGAAGACTGGCTAAAACAGAGGCCAGATTAGTTCATTTTTACTGTCTTTTAAAGCAGTGTGTGTTATAAAGGAGATGGAAGCACCGATAACTACATCTTGAAGGATTTCTAAAAGAAACAGGAGGCTGGACTACTTTCCAAAGATGACATGTCTGGGGGAACTATTAGGGCAAACACAGGGTGGCCCTGCCTGCCAGGTGTCCTGCAGGGGAGACAGTGTCTGGAGAAAGTAAGGCTAAGCATAAAAAGGAGCAGGGGCAAGGAGAAGGCAAATTTCAATATGACTTTTGAGTTATGAACTATGTGTGAGTAAGCTTCCAAAACAACAAAACACAAAGAACCACTTCATATTTTAATCATGTTTATTGTTATTTCAAGTGCTGATATCTATGGGTATCTATGTATATTCATGGAAGTTTCTCCTCTGATATAACCTTATCTCCAATGACCCCTGAGCCACAGAATCTAGGAATATAATTTAGTTGCTTTTTACACTTTCAATAATTGTTTAATGTCCATAATTTGCCTTAAGAATCACACAAATTTTAAAATTCGCCTTTAAATTTTCTGACCACAAAAACATTTTAAATTGCTACTACTTGAAGTCAGGTGGACCATGCTTATCTGGTGACTTCATCTCTTCCAAGACACAACAGAGGCTCCTGTACAGGTATTACCAAGGTGTGAGAAGGCACTTCCTCACTTGATGCCCTTGAGAATTGGTGACTATATGTCATGACATCCAGTGTAGAAATAAGTATAGCGGGAGGGAGAGTGATTTGCTTAACAAAGGTCGGGTGGCCTCTTCACATTTTAAAGTGACACTGAACTTATGCTTGTCTCCATGAAGTTCTAATTCAAGAAGCCCATTAATTTCATAACCTCTAACATGAAGTCAATAAAGGGAGCCAATGGTTCTGTGCATTGTTTTCAGTTCTCTTTTAAGAACAAAACTTCATCTGGCTCAAAAGTATCTATAATGCTGGGCCTCCCCTGGTGGCGCAATGGTTGAGCGCTGGGCTGCAAAGTTGCCTGCAGCCTCCACAGCGCCGGTTCAATCCCCACATGGAGGGGAGGGTCCCACATGGCACGCAGACCTCTCCTGCTGTCCGCTGCTCCCCTCAGCAGTGTATTTCGTCACTCTGCCTGTTCTGTTCCCTGCTCTGGCTCTGAATTCTCTCACCCTCCCGCGCGCTTCTGACTGTACACACACTTCTGACAGTACCCAGTGCTTGTATTAAAAAAAAAAACAAAGTATCTATAATGCAGGATGTCTCAGTTTATTAGGGTTGAGTCTTTTTTAGGCCAGTAAAAGCAGGCTTCGCTTGCCTCCTGTTATTTCAGGTGAAAATGCCCTTGAACTTTAAATAATTGTAACCTTGGAGAGAAAGCCATTTTTTACTTGCTTGCGGGTAAGCACAGCCACAAAGTAGTTCCCAGCTCTCTACTTATATAATGTTTACAAACTAACACTATAGCTATGTGATGTTCACAAGAGGAAGTTTTATTTCATTTCTCTTGGGTTTTGACTGCATGAAAGGAGATGTGTTGATGGCAAATAGATATCTGTCTAAAAGTAGGCAGCATTCGGGCCTCCCTGGTGGTGCAAGGGGTTAAGATGCAACCTATGAAACTATCCACAGCCACTGCAGCACAAGTTCGATCCCCGGCCAGGGAGCTACCCACATGGCGCAGCAGACCTCTCCTGACTCGCCCGCTGCTCCTCTCAGAAGTGTATTTCAGTCGCTCTGCCTGTTCTGTTCCCCACTCTGTCTCTGGTGAATTCTTTCACCCTCCACACCTCTGGCCTGTGCCCCAGTTCTTGTATGCATAAATAAATATTAAAAAAAAAAAAGTAGGCAGTATTGGCTCCTGTTAAAATTGTACCTTCTGATGCATATTTGCATAGGCCAGGCTCAGGGCATATTTTATGACTCCACATGTGCCATCACCTGCAAAACCTCAAAAAAGCAGTGTATCCTTAAAGGGGAGGCATAGGCAGGAAATAATGCCTAGTGCTCCCTGTCTTCATGTTAAACCTCAGGTACGCAGGTATCAGGTGGAGGTGGTGGGTCCCACCTAAGGCATCTCAGCACAGGTAACATGAGCACTGACTGAGATCATGAAAACACAATGTTATTGTATAGATGAAATGACTGGCCAGAGAGGTGCCTGCCAAATGTCTAGGATATCCAACTGAAATAAATCCATGGGATGGGGTTTCTGGGGGATTTCAAAATAGGTTTTTAAAGACACATTCAATAAATATAGGGTTGGAGAGTTGTAACTGAAAATATTTAATAACCAAGAAGTCTGACTAAAAGGGAACAATCTGCTGTTATTTTATTAATTTTTGATTTCCTGGTTATTAATTCTAAGAATACTTTCTCCCTATTTTAATAATTTATGAAATTATAATGAATAAATAGCCTTGGCCTAAACAGATGTCATGTTAAATGATAATTGCATTTAATGAGAGAGCACTTTTGTTCTTTTTTTAAATAATTTTTTTTATTAATAATATTTTTTAGATTTATTTATTTATACATACAAGAACTGGGGTATAGGCCAGACGTGCGGGGGGTGAGAGGACTCACCAGAGACAGAGTCGGGAACAGAATAGGCAGATGTACTGAAATACACTGCTGAGGGGAGCAGTGAGTGAGTCAGGAGAGGTCTGCTGCACCATGTGGGTCACCTCCCTGGCTGGTCTCGAACTCGTGCTGCAGTAGCTGCGGATAGTTTCACAGTGCTGCATCTTAACCCTTTGCACCACCAGGGAGGCCCCACACAGTTGTTCTTTAACTTAGCTCAAAATCTGACAAGAAGCAAACTTTATCAAAGGACAATGGGAAAAAGTCTTCTCGATGGCTGGGAACACTGAAATGTGGTGTTGGTGACAGAGCTGTGACCTCCTTCTAGTGGGATTTGAGCACTGAGTAGCTTTTCCATTGGTGGTTTAAGAAAATCTCTCTTGTGCCACATTCATTCGCCACCGTGCTGACATGGCCACCTCCTCATCACTCAGGCTTGTGTTCCACGGAATCTTTGCACATCGACCTGCCACTTCTCTCTCTCATTTCCTTTTGGTCTAGTCTTATTGTAACAGGCAGTTGTTGGTATTAAGTAAGCCTTGTGAAAATGGAGAACTGGTGAGGATGGTGAGGCTGGCTAGAAAAAATCAAGGGGATTCCAAGGAGAGAATCATCAAACTTGAATTTTGAAAATTGTTTCCAATGTTGACACATTGGCATATTCAGTTGTTCTCACTGTGGAATTTCAGATCTCTCATAATCTTGGACAACTTCCATGTAACTATTTAACGTTATAACCCACATGTTTTTTAATCAATACAGAAAACTGAGAAATGTACTCCTTCCTAGTTTTGAACACTGTTGATACAGTCCCCAATTGCAGTAGCTTGGGACAGATCTGTTATGTGATTGATTCATTCTAAGTTGGCAAACAGGTCTTTTTCGCAAGAACAGCAATCCAGCTGGGCCTATTTTGGGCTAATAGAACAATGCAGCCCATGTTCATGATTTTATCCTATTGTTTTGGTATAGGTGCATCATTCTGCCTGCTAAGAGGTTGGAATTCTGATTTTGAAACCCAACATATTAGCCCTTGCTCCAGATTTATGAGATTTGTAGATGAGATGTATGTGTGTGCAATCTTCACTCAATCACTTAGTAAAAATACTGAACAACCCGGCACTAAGGACAGTTCTCAAATATTGAATCTAGACTGATCCTTCTGGTTACATGTGGTCCATTAAATCATAACTTAGGGGTAAGTTACCCAAAGAACTAAAAAAAGACTCCCAAGCATTGAGTCATTCTGCCCACATGTACCCATTTTGTTTAACAAGGAGATCATGAAATATTACCTAAGTGACTCATTTAGTGAAGACACAGTGTGATTATTGTATCCCTCTGAACCTCTGAACTAATCATTCCATCAGGGAAGGAAAGAAGAAAATGGACACGGTCGTTGTTAGTATCAACTGGCTGATATTAACCACTTTTTTCCTGTATAAGGGTTCACAGACAATCTGTTTAATAATTCATTCAAGTGTTTGAATAGGGATTGCTATCTAGCTCACCAGTCTGTAATTTCCATTATCTACTCCTTTTCCATTAGTAGTTAAATAATAGTACATAATTTATGTATCAGTAGAATGTTACCAATTGATGATTGGGGCAAAAGACTGTGAAGCTACACTTAGCAGAGCATAAAATGGGCACTGGATGCACTAACTTGAAGGTATGTTCCAAGAATGATGAGAGGCTGATTGTGGTGGGAGCAGAGTTCCCATTACAGTTAGAACTGGAAACAAAGGCAATTGTGTTGGTTATATAGTTTGGTTATTGTGTCCCTGCTTGTGTAGCTGAACTGGACAAGTGTGAATCCTGATCAAAAGAAAAAGCAGTAGGAACAGAAAGAAGACAGCAGACACTGGTGATATTTTCAAGGATGAAAATAAGAGATTAAATACTTTAAGGATATGAAAAAAGAACTATCCTATTTTGGGTTCCTAGGACTCAGAACATATTCATAACAATTACCAAGTTGGTGAAAGCAAAAATTAATTCAATTAGGGGTGTGAGACAGGGGACATATGCAGATCTGGACACAATGAATCCGTATCGGGGAGCAATAAAAGGAACATGAAAACCTCAAGCTCATCAGGGGACAGGACTCAAGATGTTGATGCATGGCCCTTCCAGACTAGAGAGAGGAACCCCAGGAAGGAGCGCCACTGCATTGCTCAGTTCCAGGGAGCATTATTTTCATAAGACACCAGAAGTTTCCTTGTGCTCCCTACAGTGCTTGTGCTGCCTGGGAGTATATGAGCTTGAATGATCAGAGTGTAACATTGAAATAACTGCTCATGTTAGTAAAGGATACATTTTTTTATTTTATTCCTCCCCTTATTCATAACTTTAAAAGTAGTTTTAAATAGTTTCAGCCTTTTTTGTGGTTGTTGCATGTTCTAGTTCTCCTTAGGTTCACACTCGCTCTTTTCATATAGGTTCACACTGAGCTGTCCCTCCTTCCATATTTTGCTTATGACTATTTCACATCTAAACAAAACAACAAAACTCCTGTGTAGTTCCATTAGCCTCACTTTCCTACTAAGAGCATTTGTGATGGCATTATTAGAATGGGTTTCCCATCATTCTTGACAAAAATTGCTTCTCCCTTATTTCTTTTCTTTGGCTCTTCCTTTGAGTTCCATCCATGAAGTCGTAATGCTGCATCTTAAATCATATTTATCAGGTCCACTTTACAATTACCCATTCTCCTGTGGCTCAGCTGAGGCCTTTGCTACAACTGTGCATCCTCTCCCATTATCTTCTCTAGGAATTTCCAAAAGGGCTCTATGTGTACTTCTGTTCTTTATGTAACTACTGGAGTCTCTAGAGTTTTATCTCTGAGTTTTGCTCCATACTTGCAAACTTAAAAAGTTTCTTAGACCCTGTGCTCAGTTGGGTAGATATTTAACCATCTGTCAGCCTCTTACCCCCTTTTTACTTCCTACCTGCAGCTGTCTCTCTTGGGCCAGTTCTGGTCTTCCTTTTAGGCTCCTTGTCAATCTACTGGAAATTCCTTCTTGGGCTGCAGAAACCACACCAGAGGTTTGGAGTGGGGGAATTCCAACTTCTATGAGTCAGAAAAGTGGAAGGGAAATTCCTCAATCAGAACAAGAAATTCAGAATCAGAAAAATTAAAGTGATCTTCAGTCTTTTCACTTGTGCTAGCTGTGTGATAGGGACCAAAATACAAAATCCATTTTCTCATCTATGACACAGAAGACCTAGAATCTATGTAAGCAAATCCATAATCTTTTGGGTAACTATATGAGATGACACACGAGAAACACCTTTGTCATCTCTATAGGTAGTAGATTTTACTGTTTTGTTCTTTTTGTCAGTCTCTTTTCTTTGACTACAAAAGTGAGAGGTATGTTCCTGGTAGTTGGCTGGAGACTAGAAAGCCATGTGCTGCATGGAATTAGGGGCTAAAGGATTATTGGTATACTGCCTCCTGATCATTTAAGTATAATAGTTTTTGCTTAAATTTATAGGAGCTTCCACACTTAGTTGCCAGTCACTTTTCTAAAAATTTCTGAACATGTGTCTCAAGCTTCAAAACCTTTCTTTCAAAAAACAAACAAACAAAAGCTTCCTTTCAATTATACACACATTTATTCACTTCTCATTTAAAAAAATCTTCCCATTGCTGGCCTGCTTGCTGCACAGTGGAGACACAAAGACTAGACACATTTACATGCATCACCCTTTGACCTTGGCCTTGCTTCTTAGATGTATGCTTTCTTCAAATGTTTCTAAGGTGGCACTGAGTGACTGGTTCCACATATTCTTCAAGGTTCTGATTAGCCAGAAGGGAGAACCCTGCCTTCCTGTGACCTACCTGAGCATGTTCCATTCTGGCTTACTACTCAGAGCTGCAGCCTTCAACTAAGAGCTCACTGAGAGAAGGGGTCTATGTTTATTCCTTCCAGTGTATACAGGACCAGCTATGTGTCTCAGTACAAGGCTTCTGTCAGTGGGCAGTACCAGCCGTGGCTGCCCGCGGTAGTGGAGGTCTGTGCTCATAGCCCTGGGGTCATAAAGTGGCCGATTCTGCTCTGGGGGCTGATAACTTATATCTACAGGGGCTTCCTCTAGAGTTAGAATTTCAGACTGAGCGCACACTATCCAGCGGGGAGAAGTGATGGGAGGGGTGTGCATTGAGAAGAGAAAGATCAAGATTGACAAAGAACATGGTTAATTAGGAAATTGCAAGTGGGTAGAGAGAAAGAGCCCAGGAAGGAATGGCAAGATCAGAGGCTGAAGAACTTCAGACTTTAGCTTACAGGTACAAGAGCATCATTGGTAGATTCAAAGTAAGGGGAGAACTTTTCATAAAGGTATTTTAGTTTATATTTGCCTTTGGGTACACTGTGACCTAAGTAAGTGTTTTCTTTTTCTCTTTTTAAAGATTTATTTATTTATACATACAAGAACTGGGGTACAGGCCAGAGGTGTGTGGGGGAGGTGTTGAGAGGGTTCACCAGAGACAGAGTGGGGAACAGAACAGGCAGACTGACTGAAATACACTGCTGAGGGGAGCAGTAGGTGAGACAAGAGAGGTCTGCTGCGCCATGTGGGTAGCTCCCTGGCTGGCCAGGGATCGAACTTGTGCTGCAGAGGCTGTGGACAGCTTCACAGTGATGTGCTTAACTCCTTGTGCCACCAGGGAGGCCCTAAATGTTTCTTAATCATCGGTCATTCCTTGTTATATTTATATTATTTACTTCTTATTTTAAATTTACATCTTACTCTTAATAGAGTTGAATGTATGTAAAGAGGGAATGTTTTATTAATCCAATACACAGAAAATCTGTCACTTTCCACATATATATATGCACATGCATAGACACATATACATATATACGTTTTTAAAATATTCATTTAGAACCCTATTTAGAACACCATGAACTTTCTAAAATACTTTCAATAGCCTGAGTCCTGCTTTGGAAAATACTAGAATACAGGGTTAAATAGCACTTTGTGGGCTGATTAGATTTGGTACCTTCATCTCCACATATAAATGTAATCAAAATACCCCTCCTGTCAAATAATCAACATCAAAATACCCCTCCTGTCAAATAATTTTCTTACAAATATTTTTTGAACAATTTCTCTTCATATTTGGGGCTATTGTTGCAACGCCCTTCTCTCAGACTTGCCCAAACTCCCCTGGTTCAAATTCATGAAGTCCTTCTGTAGGTTCAAATAATACTCATAACAATTATCTGATGAAAGAAAGTTATTTAATTTTCTTGTCTCTTGGATTAGAATGGAACACTGCTGCCTAAAAAAAGGAGCAATCCACTCTCAGTGGATGAGGTCTTTATACAGGATGGGGGCACCTACGTGTGTGATTACACTCAGTCTGATGAGACAAGTTCATGGACAGTCAGAGCCGTTGTCCGAGTGAGAACCATTGGTAAGTGACATTTCCAATGCGATATCTGACATTTGAACAACAATCACCTAAGTCAAGTTATCTTTCTTTGTCATCTTCTTTAGCAACTTTTTTTCCTTTCAAGGAAGAAAAAAAGCAGTCATACAATTATAGTAATGCACAGCCTTGAATGTGGACCAATGTCTGTTTTCCCATTAATCTACATTCTATTCTCCAGGAAAACAAATTCTGAGTTAGGTTCAAATTGTTACATGTTCAGTTCTTCCCTTGTTGATCTCTTGTTTGTTTTATAAGAAATTAAGAAATTACATTCACTATTTCACAAGCAGAAATAGTGGTATCTATGTACCTAACACCAGCTTTAATAGTTATTCACAATTTTCTATATGCTTCAATTTTGCTTTTTATTAAGAAAATGAAACATTGCAGGCACACAATCAAGACTGAGCCCTCCTCCCTTCCAAGTGCCTCCTTCCCAGATGTGTTGCAATCCTGTCATTCATAGGCTTTCCGTTTATGGGTCTTTTTTTTTTTCCTTTTTAAGTATGTATGGCTTCATTAATAAAATGGTATAGTATCCTATGTTATAAAATGTGTTTTGTGTTATACATAAATGGCCTTATTCTAAAGTATAGTTTTACCAATTAATGCTCCTGTTAGTAATGAACAAATTCCCATTAATCCCAAACATTTGATGTAATGAGACTTACTGATTAGTATTAAGTGGGCTTTCTATTTTCCCCCCCCAATTAACATTTTTCTGACTAATGAAGCTGAACATCTTGTTAATGTACTTATTGGCTTTTTGGGCTTATTCTGTGACTTGTCTATGCTTGACCCAATTTTCTCTTGGGTCATATTTTTCACATGGAAACTTGAGTTTCTAGTTTTATGAATTATGTTAAAATTTGAAGAGAGACTTTCAAAATATTTATATATCACACATCATAGCAAGCATGCCTTAGGATTTCTCAATGCCAATAATGACTTTTATGTTTATCTTATAGAGAAAGACACTAATCACAAACCAGACATTCTGGATCCCATCAGTGACACTCTGGAAGTAGAACTTGGTAAGATGGGTGACAGCATCACCCGGAATTACATCACGCTCTAGGAGGGGTCTAAATGTGACATCAGAAAAAGGGAATCATTATTTTATGACAAACTGAATTGGATGAGTCAGTGACTGACTATATTTGTAAACTTATCTAGTTTCTTAATCTTTCTAAATCTGTTTTTAAATCCATAAGTAGGCAAAATGAAGCTGACTTCATAAGTTTGCATTGAGAAGTAAAGGACAATATATGCATATATGCTATGTAGCTTGTGCATTGCACATGCACAATAGATTTTAGACACTTCCTACTCCCCCTTGGATGCCTCCCCCCCATGAACAGGTGGTTATATATATTGGCCAAGTCTATAAAATTAGCCAGCTTACCAACTTGAGAATAGAGTTTGTTCGGGCTTTTTAGATAATTGTAGGAGAATACTAGAACTTCTGTTCAAATAATTTCTCTTCCAAAGTAGTGTCTTCTTTTGGATAGAAGCGGAAAAATGGCTTCCAGTGGTCCCCTTTTATCTTATCAACTTCCATAACATTTATAGTCTCCCCAGAATCAAATAAGAACAGCTCTATTTTAAATATAATGTGGTTATTTCAGTCATTCAAATGTTTCTTTTAAATGTTTAAATGTTAGTCAAATATTATTTAAAATGTTAATCAAACACTTGTAATTGTAGAAATGTAAAAATAGTATTATGACAAAAGACCACTAGATGGCAGTAGCTATGTATCTGATTATGGAAATAGCACTATGGGCAACATCACAAGAGCAGAAGGAACAGAGAAAGACGATTAATTCAAAATAGCCAAGATACATATGATATCAGTAAAATTTAAGGTATTACTGGGGAAAGCATTATTAAGATACAAGATGAGTTTTCAAATTGAGTCCCTAGCCATTTCTTGGTGAAAACACTGAATTGGAGGTAGAGCGTAACTGGATGAACCTTATGGAGAAAATGCGTAGAAAAGAGTGTTATAATAACATGCATATTGATCCAAAGTGTGTTGTTCACACAAAGTGAATCTCAAAGCAATTTCTTCTTTAAACTACATGCTTATTTTCACATATTATGCAAATATTGGTTAGTGCGATGTTCTTTGTTGGCACACCTTGGGGACATGATCAATGGATTTTATATGCTTCCTTATTCCTCCCCACGGAGTAGGTGATTACATATATTAGTTATATGCATGTGATTAAGAGTGTCAGTTTAACCAATTTATCAGCTTGGGTAGTTTTAATCTTATGAGTACAGTGTTTGCACTACCTTTCGGGGCTGGTCACCGAAACTCCTTAACCTGTGTATCCTCAAATCATACCAGAACCTTTGGAACCATGGCAGCTAACTTTCATTTTAACAACATAGAGTCACAAATTTGAGAAATGAGCATTGCACCTTACAGACAAACGCACCCTACTTTATTTGCTACTGAATGAAAGATAGGGAGAAGTTGAGTTATTTCTGGCCCCTGTTTTACCCACAAACCCAATTGGATTAGGAAACAATTTTCAGGGTACCTTTTCTCCTGCACAGGACAGACATTCTTATGGCTTCTTTCCTTCCTGTTTTCTGTGAACCCATCATTTTCAGGAAAACCATTAACTCTTAATTGCACAGCACAATTTGGCTTCGAAAAGGACTTTAAACCTGTGATAAGATGGTATATCAAAGATTCTGACCAAGAATGGGAAGTCCCAACACCTGAGGGGGAAAGGTAAGACAGAAATAAGTGGAATCTGTTCTTTGCAACCCACATCAAATGCTTTCACCTTCATAAATCTCTAAAAGGTACACACAAAAGTAAACAAAGACATGCAATTGATAGCATAGCCGCTAGGGCCCAGGGGTGAAGAAAATTAAAGTAGTGGAATGCAAAGTGCATGTTAATTTTAAAAATGAGATACTTAAGTTGTTTGAAAGCTCAATTTGTAGAAATAGTTAATATGGCTGGTTTAATTTCTAAATAGGCTTCTTAAATAGAAGTAGCATGTCCAACAGATGGGAAAGGATGCCATCCACCCAATCCCATTGTTCTCCATGCCATCCATTCAGAGCAGTGATCAGTTCTGGGATCCAGAGTGTATCCAGAGGAAATGGCACAAATTAAGGAGCCTGATAACAAGTATACATGTGAAGTGAGGAATACTTGAAACACTCTACCCTAGAAAAGGCGACTGTTGTGATACACTCTTTGGAAGCACTTGGAAGCTACTATGTCTTAAGAGAAACTAGATTTAGAGCACAGAACCCAGATCAGTGGACACAATTTATGAGGAAGACAATCTGGCTCACAGAAAGGGAACTTCAAGACATTTGGAGCTAACTCCTAACAAAGCTGGACTCCCGTCCCTGGAAGGATTAAGGACTTAGATTCAATCTGTCAGGCATCTCTCTAAGGGAAACAGCCCCTCATTTTTCTAAAGACCTGTTCCAAAGGAACAGTGAACTTACTAACCACTGATTTTTTTAAACATGCCAATGAACAAATATAATATCATTTTGAAAAGCAGACATCACTACAAAAAATAAAGAACATATTTTGGTAACAAAAATAAAATTTAACCAGAACTTCTAAGGGGAGTCACAGGGATCCCGTTAAGCTGATATGGCATCAAAGTTCAAAGTAGCCAAATGTAGGGGAGGGAGCAGGCTCTGACTTCACACACCTTTGGGTTTGAAACTGATTTCCATCTACTGGCCACGTGAAGCTCTACTCTGCGAGGCCCCTATGAGGAGAATGACAGTAGCCTTGATAAGCTTAACATAGCGCTGGTATAAAGAGGAGCTTTCCCACTAACTTGCAGCTTCTTCTCAGACTGATCAAGCCATCCAGTTAACACTGGACACATTATGATAGAAAGAAAGGACCAAATTTAATTAAATACATACGGAGAACCTACGTGGCTGTAAATTCTGGAGTAAAAGGGACACACTATGTATTTGAGTAAGGAATGAGATAGAGAACTGGGGCTTCCAGGAAAGAGGAAGGTGACTCATATGCCAGAAACCAGACGCTCCACAACTCGATGTTTGCCCTGAAATATAGATGAGTTTCTCTGATTAAAAGGTTATTTGTGGAGATAAGCCTCAATCTGGGTGATATCTCTAATCTTCATTCTTCTAGATGGTAAAGTTTCTTTTGAAGTCTCTAGGACCTTGATTTATCTCAGCTGGAAATAATCTACACAGCAAGTTGACCTATCTTGGAAGAGCTGTCCCTGACGTGTTGGGGAGACCTCTCCTTCACTGACTTTCCATAGAAAGTATTCAGTGAATACAACTAATACAACAAAAACATCATCCACAAAAACAAAATAAAACAAAACCCCAATATCCAAATTGTGAAAAAATCCTCAGACTCACACTTCCTGGATGGGGCAGATGGTATAGGCTCAAGAATCAGGCTGCCATTGCCCAGTGCTGAGACTGTGGGCCATCACATACATTCTGTGCCAGGTCCAAGTCTTGACCAAATAGGGAAATCACACTGTTAACTTGTAGAGTTCTTGTGAGGTGAGGAACAGAGATATGTTTGTCTGCATTTAGTGCTCAGAGATTGCCTGATCCGTAGTAAGCTCTTGGAAGCAGTTAGTAATTTTTAATATTGTTCTTAAGTTATTGTTATTTTCTGTTCTGAAGGGGAATTCTTAGAGAGAGGAAGATCAGATGAAGCCCACAAATAAGTTATATATATATATTTTTTTTCTTTAAAGATTTATTTATTTATACAAGAACCAGGGTACAGGCCAGATAGATTTGCGGGAGGGTGAGAGGATTCACCAGAGACAGAATAGGGAACAGAACAGGCAGATCAACCAAAATACACTGCTGAGGGGAGCAGTGGGCGAGACAGGAGAGGTCTGCAATGCCATGTGGGTATCTCCCTAGCTGGCCAGGATCGAACCCGCACTGCAGATACTGCAGACAGCATCATAGCAATGCGCTCAACTGCCTGTGCCACCAGGGAGGCCCTAAGTTATATTTTAATGTAGAGGATTAGAATTGATGGTTAGAAGATTCAGCAACTTCAGAAAAGTGAATTGTCTCTGACAATATTCTTCTGGCATGTCTGCCCACTATTTCATCCATTTCTTCTCTCAGAGCCAAACCATTGGCTGCTTGCATGAGTTCCAAATACTTCAAACAGGTGTTGATCTATATTCATAAACAGGTGTGATATTTTCCCTCCTCTCTTAGGATTGAAACCAAGATAACAGATGAAAAAATTAAGCGAGTCATCTTTTTGAAAGAGGTGACTCAGAGTGATCTTCATAAGAAATTTATTTGCTTTGCCCAGAACTCCATAGGGAACACTACCCGGTCCATCCAGCTGAAAGCAAAGAGAGGAGGTAAGTCTGGAAGTTTGCCTAGGAATCGTTCAACTGCAACTCGTGTTGCAGTTGCTGTGGATAATTTCATAGGTTGTGTCTTAACCTTTGCGCCACCAGGAAGGCCCCGCTCTTTATTATTTACTCATTCATTTATTCATTCACTCACTATTTCACATATTCACTTGTTCATTCATTAAATAAATACCGATAGGACATGTTTTATGCTAAGACCTAGGTTTTGTTTTTTTTTTTTCCTATTGTCCTTTCCTGGATCTGAATATAAAAGATGTGATGATTTACTACTGGAGAGTGGAAGAGAAAAAGAGTATTCTAGCTCAGTGTTCAGAGAGATATGGGTCTATCCCAGATCAAAGTCTTTGAAAGCTGAATAGAAATCGCTGGGAAGGAGTAAATTTTCAACTTCTTCTTAAATATCTGTATAAAATATAAATTTCTTTAAGAAGATACCCAGATAAAAATGATATAATTCATTCAACTAATGGGTGATTATAGAATAAGGAGGTTATGAAAGTTGCGATGCTTCATTAAGACAAAATTTGTGCCTGATTCCTAGTGGATGCTCTATACCAGCTTCCCTTGGCAGAGGTGGGCATGAGACCCCAGGCGTCAGGCAACATGGAGTGTGTGAAAGTAAAGCAGGTGGAACTCCTCACCTCAGGAAGGTTAGAACTTAATAGTTACAGTAATGAGAGGGATGCAAATGTGTATTTGTGCGAAAGTATATGGAGGAAAATAAATTAAGGTATCTATGATCAATTTCCCAGACCAGCATGATGAGGAACTGCCTGTTCTCCTGGACTCTCTAAAGTTCATTGTGAGACAGTTCCCTCAAGATGTGATTTAAGGTATTACCAGAGTCAAGAGAAATGCTTCCATGACAGTCATTTTGATAAAATGATATTAAGTCCAGAGAAGACACTGGGCAGGGCCCCTCACTGACTGAAAGCGGTCTTGGCCCAGGAATGCTATCATTGCCTTTGCTCATGGCTGCTGTGTTTCCCCAGTGGTCTTCATATACATCCTCCTCGGGACCACCATGACCCTGGCAGGAGTGCTGATGGGCTGTGCTCTCCTCTACATGCACTGGATTGAAATAGTCCTGCTGTACCGAACCTACCAGAGCAAGGATGAGACACTCAGAGGTAAGGTGACCCCAACTTGCCTCTGTGTTTTCCTCACAGAACTGCTGTAGAAGGATGGGTGTTCTCAGGTTGGGAAGTCAGGCCCCACAGGCCTTGAGACTCTCCTTCTGGTCTGATGCTTTCACACTCAGGAGGCTGGGAGCAGGTAGGGTACCAACCTCTTTTCATCCTAGTTACCAAGAATCTTGCTGACCATGGAACTGGAGGACATATTGGACTTGAAAATAATCTGCTGGTCAACTTAACACTTCATGCCTTAGTTTCTTGAGTGGATTAAGTACTATAATTGTCATGCCAACCATCTACAAGCTAGGCAGAGAATCTTGAAGTGACATGCTCTGAATGGAACTTCTGAGTGTTCAAGTTTGGGTTTAGGGCCTAGACAGTTTGACCTAGAGACCCTGTTAGCTATTTTCTTGATTAGCTTCATACGGAAAATGAGGGGGCTGTAGTGTAAATGAAGATTTCTCAGGCTTTTGCCCCATTGGCCTCTGTGGCTATCACCTGTGGTCTTGAATGCAGGAGATGCTTGGGAGCATGGGCTCGGATTATGCGTGGCTGATGGTGGATACCTGGAGTATGGTGTGGGCATGCGTAAGTGGGCACACCTGAGCCTGGAGGCTGAGGCTATAAGGGCAGCATCACAGAGGATGGCGTGTGGCAAAGGGCGGTGGAAAGCAGCAGAGAATAGCTAAGAGAGAAAAGGGTGTATAGAGATTCTCTGTGTGGGGTGGGCAATTTGCTATCTCCCTGCTGGCTGTTTCCCCTGCATAAGCTGCCTGAACTGATGATGAACTTACCTGGCTTGGGATGATTGCAGAACAGAGGCTTAAAGATGGTGGAAATTCCAAATATCAGAAAATTGTGAAGTTCTGTAAAATGCATGGACTTGGGACCACCTTGGACTTATTACAATTAATCAAGTGTCTGTCAATGGTCTGATAATACAGGATAATGTTTATTAATATTTGATTCTTCAAAATAGAACTGCTTCAGTGTTTTTCTAGCCATGGAGCTCTCTAATGTTTGATTATCTACAGTTTTAGTAAAAGATGCTGTTGTTTGGAAAGAGCAGAATTCCTTCTGCAGAGTCCAGGGGTAACGAATTACCTGACGGGGATACCCCTCACACACCTGAGTTCTTCTCCCACACCAGGAACTCAGCAGAAAATTCTCAAATCTCCAGGGAAAGGATGAGGAAAGAAATCCTAAGTCACACCTTTCTTTTGGCTGATTGTTGAGAGTCTGTACTAGAGACCTTTGAGTCAAGAGTGTTTTTGACATTTATTTTCAAAAATTAGCCTTTTTGAATTGAGCAAATCATCTAATCAATGTCTTGATCATTTCCCTATATGACTTTATACTTTTTTCTACTAAAATTCTATTGAAGAATCTAGAGCTTTTATAAAAGTATTCATCAAGATGAAACATCTACATGGGCCCTTCTTTGCATTGACAATATTTCAGTAATGTATGGGGAAGCAGACCTGGTTTTCATTCATAGAGATTCAGTGTCAGCTGTAGGCTAATATTTTTCAACAAAATGACTTTCCTTTTAAGTTAATACTGAATAACCAACATATTAGAGAAGCATAGAATGTCAGAATTTTGGAGAATCTAAGAGATTGTTTAATACTTCCACTCTCTAATTTTATTACTAAGGAAATTAATGTCTCCAGGTTATAGAAATATTCTGGTTTGAGGGCTTGAGCATAGAAATGGAAGGAATAGGGCCTTCCCAGTGGTGCAGCGCTGTGAAGCTGTCCGCAGCCTCTGCAGCGCGGTTTGATTCCCAGCTGGCCAGCGAGCAACCCACATGGCAGGGTAGACCTCTCCTGTCTTGCCCGCTGCTCCCCTCAGCAGTGTCTTCGGTCCGTCTGCCTGTTCTGCTCCCCACTCTGTTTCTGGTGAATCCTCTTACCATCCTGCACCTCTGACTGTACCCCAGCTATTGTATAAATAAAATAAATCTTAAAAAAAAAACCAAAAAAGAAATGGAAGGAATAGAGGCAACACCGGTGTGTGACACACTGATTGCTTGGTGCGTGCCTGCTGACCAAGTTCTGTGAGCCTCATCCTTCCCACTTGGGCCAAGAGCAACTTCTCCAATTAATCTCCCGGGCCTGCGCGCTCTAGCATCTTCCTCTTTTGTCTCCTGAGCCTCCTCCACCCACTCTTCCTTTTTAATTGTAGCCACTTTCACCACTAAAGCCTCTCCTTAGGTTTACCTTGAGTAAGGGAAATATCAAATGGCACCCGCAACCACTTGTTTTTCATTTTGAAACAATACTCTTTGCTGGGCATTGTGCAAAGTGCTAAATACCATCCAGATGTGTCTAATTCCAAAGCCCACAAATTAGCTTTTGAGATTTTTCACCACTTCCAGTTCATTCTTTAGCATGTCCCACTACTGTCAATATGCATTTGTAATAATTTAGTCAATAGACATGAGACCTTGAGAATATTCTTAAATCAGGTTTCATAAGTAGAGTTTCCCATCTAGAGGGGATGGGAGCGGAAAGAAATTTTTTATACCTACTATGAGCCTGGCACCAAGTAATTCATTTCCATGATCACATGCAACCCTGAAAGCAGCTTGCCAGGGAGTTGTTATAATCTCATTTTGTTTGTGGGATGCAAATAGAGGTATATGTGTGTTCAACTCTCTCATGTGAAAGATACTATATTAGCAGTGCTTTGCTCACTGGATAGTATGATTTGATGGAGAAGACTCTTCTTTTATGTGTAATTAATAAGCTGGCAACATTGCAGATGCAAAGAAAGCTCAGAGGAACTCCTGAGTACATGTGATTTAATCATTGAAGGACCAGCTGTTTGATCAGACCTCAGTGACCATGAAGTGCTTCCTAACTTAGAATTCAATTCTGTGTAGATGATCGATACCACTCAGGAGGGTGATTTTGAAATAAACACAGCTGCTGCTTTTTAATTTTTACATCAACTCAGTAAGGGTCAAGCACATGTAGGTATATCATCATAATAAATAATAAGGAAATGGATGGTTATTTTCCCTCTTCCTTAGATAAAAAGGAATTCGATGCCTTCATATCCTATGCAAAATGCAGTTCTTTTGAGAGTGAGGCCGCTGTATCTCTGAGTGAAGAAAACTTGGCTCTAAATCTATTCCCTGAAGTTTTGGAAAACAAATATGGATATAATTTATGTTTGCTTGAAAGAGATGTGGCTCCCGGAGGAGGTATGTTCTGATGGAAAAAATAAAGAACAAAAAAAGATAGCTAAATGCAAGTGCTCCCTAATTTCTTGTCATTCTGTATGTTGGAATCTACATGTTCTGTAAGTTTTCAGAGCTTGGAACATCCTGGGTAACACAGAAAAACACTAGCAGAGAGATGCCCCATCATCATCATCATCAAAAAAAAAAAAAAATCCTTCAGAAAAAAAAGTCACCTGTATATTGGGCCCAAGGGAGGCCTTCCAGAGCAAAGATATTTTTCTGGGCCTGGGCAGGGAGTCATCTCTGTCCCTCTGTCCCTAATGGCACCCTGCTTTTTGGGAGTCTGCCCTCCATAATCCTGCAGGCTCCTCAGACCTGTGCCCAGCCCCAGGTACTCATGAGACACGCATGCATTACTGACCAATTCTGCCTCAGACAATCACTATGGTGCCTGGGACATTCCATGCCTCTCTGTTATCCCAGCCTACCTTGGTCCAGTGAGCTTTGAGCATAGAGAAATTGACAATTGGAGGAGACAGAACACAAGGCGAGGAATGTTGAATTGAAAAATCACTGAACACTAGCGTCTACCTCAACTATTGATGGAGCTGATCTAGTAGACCAAATTTCTTTTCTGACATAAGAGTGTCCATTTCAAGAAATGCTGTGGGTGGATTGGGGAGATTCAGGCTTATTGTGACTCAAGTTTAACACAAAAAATTACAAATAATTCAATTCTTTGTTTGCAGTGTATGCAGAAGACATTGTGAGCATTATTAAGAAAAGTAGGAGAGGAATATTCATCTTGAGCCCCAACTATGTCAATGGACCTGGTATCTTTGAACTGCAAGCAGCTGTGAATCTTGCCTTGGATGATCAAATGCTGAAACTAATTTTAATTAAATTCTGTTCCTTCCAAGAGCCAGAGGCTCTACCTCATCTAGTGAAAAAAGCTCTCAGGGTTTTGCCCACAGTCACCTGGAAAGGCTTAAAATCAATTCCTTCAAATTCTGGGTTCTGGACTCAAATACGCTACCACATGCCTGTGAAAAAATCTAAAGGACTCACATGGAGCCAACTAAGAATTATTCCGAGATTTTTCTCTGGAAAAAACAGAGAAAAACAGAAACCACTGGGAGGAGCTCCCAGCCTAGGGAATGATGGGTGAGCCCTGAACTATCTGCCTGCCAGTCCCTGGTGAGTGGAGACATTGATGGACAGACACACAGCGTTGATGGAGCAGATGTAAAATGGAAAGTCTTCTGCTAGCCCTGAGCTAGCTCGACAGGCACTGGATAACACTGAAGCTGTGGTCAGAACCTCGAACTTGGCAGAGGGAGAGTGAATTCTCCACATGCACATATGTGCAGTACACGGCGCCCTAAAAATTTCCCAGTGAGCTGAGCAGAAGCAACAGATTCAGCCACTTTTGCTTTTTGTAGCTATGGACTATCAAGTCTACTGTGTCTTTCACTGGAAACCTGTGATTTAAACTTTGCCTGAAGCTTTCCTGTAAAGAAGACAATTCTTACTCCATGTTCCCCCATTAACTGAAGCACAGAGGCAAGAAGACAAGGGGCAAATGGGAACATATTTGGCCTCTGTTGTGTTCTTATGGGAAGTGCCCATCTGGGGGATAAGGGCACTTATCCCCTTGTGTGCTAAGACACAAGCCTGGGGGCGGGGAGCAGAGTAGGGCTCAGTTCAGTACTGCTCTTTCCCTTGGGCTGGGACATTTGTGCAGGGCCTGAAGTATACACTGGGGCCCTGGAATTAGGGGCCAACTAGGCCAAGATCATTAGGTCAATGAAGAGTCAAGTAATGGCCTAGCAGTTACCTACAAAGTAGAGAGGAGGTGGTGAGAGTCAGCAGCCAAGGGAAGAGTCCAAGAAATAAGTGTACACTGGTTAGAAGACAGCAAGAATGGAGCTTGAGCAGAACCTTAGTCTGAGTCAGTTGCCCGTGTACCTCCTAACCCTGCTGGCTTCAGGGAAAGTCCTCTGAAGTAGCAGCGTGATGTGCTGAAGTCCCACGGAGCTGTTCCTGATAGACAGGGTTAATTGGACTCTCATAATTTTGTTCTGTTTATGAAAGTTCTATCTGTAGGTAAAATAACGTTCTGGTGATTCATGAATGCAAAAACTTCAGACTGTCTCTTCCCTGAGAGAATGGAATGATTCATTGGAGCAATAAAAAGTGACTTCTGGACTCATTCATCAGTTATGTGTCACATCTACTGTCTGAATATGATCCAGGTACGGAGCGGCCAACAGCCACCTTATCTGGCCATTGCTCGGTGCCTGTGTGAATTGCTCTTGAACTCCTTTTTTCGCAGAGCCTCCCACATCATAGAAACCACTGTGGCTTTGGCACCAAGCAACATCCTTGTTGAGAATTTCAGTGAGAAAGTTAAAGATGAGTTAAAGGGTATAAATTATTCCTGAAGGAAGTTCTTGTGGGAAGACTCATTGCAGGGTTTCCGCAGGGAAGAACCCACACTGTCTTCATGCCATTGTGCTAGGGGACGGCCGGGATCCCTGCTTTTCCTGCCACACTGTCTGGGATCTAAGACTCAGAGACTTCTTTTGGCCTGTTTATGTAGGTTTATTTTATTTTAAAATAGAGATTGCTACAGCTGATGTATCCAGAGGTCCAGAGGTTTGTTCTGAGCTTTAAGAAATCTCAAGCTGAGTCTCAGTTTCACACGTACACAAAAGAGGAGCTACCCAGCTCCAAAAATTTACAGAATAAGTTTTTTTCCAGATTAGTAGGTATATGGGGGATGACACATCAACCTTTGGGATTGGCCTTATTTCTATTTCTTACATGTAGATCAATCAAAAGAAAGCAGATAACCAAAACAAGTTTTATAGCTACAGGAGCCTGGTGGTAATTAAGCAGTTGAACTTGGTGGGATACAATGAGAAAAGAGTACTGATTTTCCTGTGTATCTTCTCACTAAGGTGGCCGACTGTTCTGGTCCCTGGTTTCTATCTGTTCAAATATAATTTTCCTAGTGCTCTCTCACTCTGGAAATGCGTCCTCATTTGGGTGATGGTTGCCCTAACTCACACTCCTAGGGTACTCCTCACTGACTGTGGATGATATCTCATAAATCTCACAGCTCTCCCAGTATTTATTCTCTAAATTATTTCCAGATTACAGTTGCAGATAAGATGGAGTAGCATGCACGCTCTGTCTTTCCCACTTCTGCAGCTATAAACCTGGATAAAACTGATTGAGAATTCTGAAAAGTAAATAGAAGCAGGATACTGGAGAACACAAGAATTCGAAGGTCCAAGATTTAATTTTCCTCTAATATCCCCTGGTTTAGGTTCAGTGCAATCTGAAATCCAGAAGTAGACTTTAGTGATGACAGGAAGAGTTCCAGAAGCCCTCTAGTACTGCTATGCAGGCAGGGAAAGGAGTTTCCTAACACTCCTTTATTTATTTATGCATACAAGAGCAGGGGTGCAGGCCAGAGGTGTGGGGGTGTGTGTGAGAGGATTCACCAGAGACAGTGGGGAGTAGAACAGGCATATCCATTGAAATACACTGCTGAGAGGAGCAGTGGGCGAGATAGGAGAGGTCTGTTGCTCCATGTGGATCACCTCCCTGGCTGGAAATCGAACCCGTGCTGCAGTCGCTGCAGACATCTCCACAGTGCTGACACTTAACCCCTTGCGCCTCTAGGAAGGCCCCTATATATACATATTTTTAATGGTCTTTAATTTCCCAACCCTTACACAGACCTATGTTCGCTGTAGTGGCACCACCACAGCCATAAGAGGTGCCCTCCAGAGCCTACCTCTCAGAAGAGGGAGGGGAATTGTCCAGTGCCTTCTTAAGGTCAAATGAATTTGTGTGCATAGTTTTCAGCTCAAAGTCATTATTAAAACAAATTAATTAAAAGGAATTTTAATCAGATTCAGGATGTTCTCTGTGAGAAAATGGGGGGCTTATGAGACATAAGAAAGCAGGGACTGAGGTGAAATTCAGGGAATCAGCCATTCTGCACCTTCTCCCCACTCAGGGATATGACCTAACCAATGTTGAAGAACTGAGAAAATATAAGGCTTGTAAGTCCCTTCAACAGACTTAATGGATTGTTAGTGATAGTTTACATGGAAGAGTGATGTAAGGTCTGAGAACCAAAACTAGAGGGCCACCAAGAACAGTGCTATTAACATCAAATGAAATAGGGATATCATCGCCTGGGGAAAGTGACTGGAGTATGTGTCAATCAAAAGATAAAGAGGCAAGGAAATCACTCAAAATTGATGCTGAATGAGCCCCTTCTAGCACAGCCAACTACCTTCCGTTGAGTTCAGCGTCCTTTTGTGTCCCTGAGTGGGTGTGTGTGGGAAGGAGACAGGGGATGTGGGGTGGATGTATGTAATCTTTTCACACCAACTAAACCCAATTGCAGTGTGGTGCCCATATCCTCACACTCCTACACATATTCTAACAGATGTGATTCCAGTGTGTTCTGTTCCTCCTGAGAATTGTCTATATTCTATTTTATCCAACAAAAGTGAAAATAAATGTAATTTCAAGAAGAGGAAAATAAAAAGGCTTGGCCAAGTGTTGGAAAGAGCTCCTGTTACAATAAGTTGTATCTCTTGTGCCAGTCTGGGAAAGAGGTAGAATGGACGGCTCCAGAACCTTCACTTAGCGGGCAGTTGAGTAAGTAAAGCCCCAGAGCTCAGTTCAGTTCAAGGATTATTACCTGAACTATTTTGTCATAGGGGAAAAAGGTCCAAGGGGAAAAAAATCCTGGAAAGAAAATGAGACCGAAGAAAGTGGAAGGAAATCAGGACTCCCGACCAAAAGAAAGCTGTTTCTATATCAATTTCTTTAAATTTGAATAAAAAAAACATGAGAGTTTCAAATAACAAAAGCCTGAGGAAAATACTCTGAGATGCTAAGGAGAACGAAAACATTTCTTTTATATTAGTCAGGGTAATTTTTTTTTTTAAGATTTATTTATTTATTTATACAAGCACTGGGTACTTGTATACCAGAAGTACCCAGTCAGAAGCGCGGGAGGGTGAGAGAATTCACCAGAGCCAGAGCTGGGAGCAGAGCAGGCAGAAGGACCGAAGTACACTGCTGAGGGGAGCAGCGGGTGGCAGGAGAGGTCTGCGCGCCATGTGGGACCCTCCTCCGGTGGCCGGGGAGCAGCCGGGGATCGACCCGGCCCTGCAGAGGCTGCGGGCAGCTTCGCAACCCAGCGCTCAACCGCTGCACCACCGGGGAGGCTCAAGTCAGGACAATTTAGATGCTGCATGGTAACAAATCATCCTGGAACTTCAGTGACTCAATACGGAAAGTTTATTTCTCACATTACAATCCAATGTGGGCTGAGAAGCTCTTCTCTTTATCATCTAGCAATGGTGCTGTGAGTACCTGGACTCTGAGTCAATTGTAAGGGGAGAAAGTGTGGAAAGGTTATACCTGCACTTAACTGCCTCAGTGTAGAAATCACACATCACTTCCATTCAACTTACAGAAAAAAACTCACGTGTCTCCAACCAACTACAAAGAAACTGGAGAAAGTGAATATTTCACATGTTTAGAAAGATGAAATGATCTGCGGCCACATATTGCACTGTCTCTGCTACACTCTGCAGTTGTTCTAGTTAAGATACAATTGCAGGGCCTCCCCAGTGGCGCAGTGGTTGAGCGCTGGGTTGCGAAGCTGTCCTCAGCCTCTGCAGCTCCGGTTCCATCCCCGGCTGCTCCCCGGCCACCAGAGGCAGGTTCCACATGGCGCTCAAACCTCTCCTGCCGCCCGCTGCTCCCTCAGCAGTGTACTTCGGTCCTTCTGCCTGCTCTGCTCTCCGCTCTGGCTCTGGTGAATTCTCTCACCCTCCCGCGCTTCTGACTGTACCCAGTGCTTGTATGTATAAATCAATCAATCAATCAATCAATCAAAAAAAAAAAAAGATACAATTGCAGAAGTGGTCATCAATCCACAGTTGTATGTTTGATTTATAAATGTCTTCTGAGGTGTCTGATCAGAGAATCTGGTGAGGCAGTGGAGGGAGAAGAAAGTAATATTTTGTGGCTATCATAGTATGGTCAATAATCCAGTTATTGGTGTACAGAGCTTATGAAAGTTTTCTAGATATGAAGTGCACCAGATTAGAAAGGTAAGAAAAGCCAGCGTGTGATATATAAAAGTGAAATGTTCTGGTCAGAGACTTGCCTCTACTTAACTAATTTTTAAGAGGGCACGGAAACTGGGGGTGCTTGCAACAAGATATGAAGTAAGGTTTTTCTAGCTGACTCTGAATTTTGGAAGAGGTCAGAAACTTACAGATTGTGAGTGCACGTGTTCTCTCAGTCCAGATGGAGGGTTAGACAAAACCTCTGCAGGACTTGCTGAGTGCAACCATTGTAGCAAGCACAACCTTTAGCAACCTGTGTAAAAGGTGTGCCAACCTCAACACCAGTGAGAAAATCTAAAAGAACGACTTATAGAGATTAGAGTTTTCTGACAGATGTAAAGAGAGAGAAAGGAACTGTTCTGCATTTCAAGGTGGCAGTTGATGGAGGGAAGAAGTTATCAGTCCCTGAAAGAGGGGAACAAATAGGGGAAGTAGAATTAATAGGTCAACCACCTTTGTCTGAGTCAAAGGAGTCTTGTAGCTCATTTACTAAACAGTAGTGACTGGTGATGACGTAGGTAGATACAATAAGATGATACATTTCATTTTTAACCAACTGGCTTTCATTCTTCAACCATCCAACACATTGATGTAGGTGTGTGTAGACATGAAATGGCTTAGGCATTGTGATCACTGCAAACAAATGCCAACTATATAGAATTTAAAAGCTCTGAAATAACATAACGCTAATACTCATCTAGTAGCTACTATGTACTAAACATTTTCCTCTCAGTTATATGTTATGTCCCTTAATTGTCAAGATATCTTTTAGGTAATCATTGTCACCATCTTGATAGACAGGCAGGTGAAGCTTAGAGGTGTTTTAGACATGCCCAAGATCATACAACTTAAAGTTTCTACTCTGTACAAAATCCCTGTTGTAAGAATTATAAGATCATAACATTAGCTATTTTCTAGTGTGAAGATCAGTACGATTCCAAAGCTCACATTCATGACCATCCATGCTCACACTCTACTATGCTGTCTTCCTGTCCTCCTGGTTTTAGGGAATCTCCCTGTCTCTCTGAGAAGTAGAAGTAGG